CCCAGCCTACCAGGGTTCTGATGGGGAAACTGAGGCGCAGAACATGTGTGTGTGAGTGACACAGTGTGGCATCTCTCAGTCCCCGCCCCCCAGCTTTGTCTGGAACCCACCTCTCCACTCAGCCCCACAAGAACACCCTGGGGGTGCACAGCTCCTCCCCCAGCGCGCGGGCACACGCACACACACACACACACACACACACACACGCACACACACACACACACCCCCCCTGGCACAAACGGGCATCTCCCGCACAGTCCTGCCCAGCCTCCAGGACCCCTTTCTCCCTTTCTCACCCAAGTCCTTTCTTCCCCTTCACTGGGGCTTGGCTCTAGGCCAGCCTGCATTCCCCTTGCTAACTTGCTGCTTTCACTTGCTAATGATTCCAAATATTTCAGAAGGGCGCACACTGCAGGGCCGGTGGGGTTGGGGCCTTGCTGAGCCCAGAAGCCAGCCCAGCCCCTTCCCACAGCAGACTGAGGCCGCCTCACTCCACGACTCCTTTCAACCCCCCCACCACCCACCAGCCCAACTCTCTACTGGCCCCCAGCAGTGGGGAAGTAGTGGGGGGGGGGGCCTCTGGCCTTCTCCACTGGCCCCCAAGATCAGCCTCCAGCCCTGGCCAAAGGGGTCACATCTCTGATTGACCGGTGGGCGTGCCGCCCTCTCCCCAACCTCACCCTCGGCCTCCGCTGTGCTGGGGGGAGAGGGGCAAGGTCGGGCAGGCAGAGCTGCCCAAGGCAGCGAGGAAAGGCCGAGGAGTGCGCAGAGGTGGGGCTCAGCCCTGGCTGTAGGGGAATGACCAGGCGCCCCTGAAAATCCCTGTGCTGGGGCCCAGGCACCAACACTGATTCAGGGTCCCCAGACGCTACCGAAGCCGAGGGGGTGGGTGCACTGGGCTTCCCACTCGCTGAGCAGGCAGCATCTGCAGAGGGAAAGTGAGTTTCAGAGCCCATCCCTCCTGCTTGTCCCTGCCCGATGGCTTTCAGTTTTATTTTTTATTTGTTTATACACTGAGTGGTCAGGTTATTATGACCACCTGACGTTTGTAGGCAAATTAGCTATAATTTCTCGCTGAAGTTGCTAGAGGGCCAGACCATTATAAATAGGGAAGCAGGTTGTTTACCAAGACAGCAGAAGTGATTTTTTTTCTGAAGATATGGGTAAACAACGCGATTTAACAGCCTTTGAACATAGAATATATATATAGTATTGATTTCAGAGAGGAAGGGATATATATATATAGAATTGATTTCAGAGAGGAAGGGAGGGAGAGAGGGAGAGAGAGAGAAACATCAGTAATGAGAGAGAATCATTGATCGGCTGCCTCCTGCACACCCCACGCTGGGAATTGAGCCGGCAACCCAGGCATGTGCCCTGACCTGGAATCAAACTGACCTCCTGGTTCAGAGGTCGATGCTCAACCGCTGAGCCACGCCAGCCGGGCATGCCCTGGTGGCTTTTTAAGAAGCTGTTCATTTACCTCATAGGTACTGATGGATTCGACGTGACCCCAGTCAGAATAACTCTGCAGCATGTGACAGTGAGCTGCAGACACAACGCCCATTGGCACAAACTACTGGAGTGTATATGTCCTTAGAGCAAGGACAGCCCTGCAAACGCTCCTGCCACCGTCACCATCGGGACATGGACATGGACCTGGTAATCCCATCGCACCACCGACCCATTCGAAGTTTGCAGGTGGCCCCACTGATGCTCCTCTCCGGCCTAGCACCCCCATCCAGGGTCACGAGTTGCACTGGGGGGTTCTCTCTCTCTCTCTCTTTCTCTCTCTCTCTCTCTCTTTCTTATTCTTCTTCTCTCTCTTTAATATATATGTTTTATTGGTTTTAGAGAGAGGGGAAGGGATAAGGATAGAGAGATAGAAACATCCATGAGAGAGAAACATCAGTGGGCTCCTGCACGCTCCCTACTGGGGATCGAGCCGCAACCCTGGCATCTGCTCTGACCCGGAATCCAACCTGTGGGTGACCTCTTGGTTCATGGGTTGATGCTCAGAATCACTGAGCCACACCGGCCGGGCAGTCCTGTCTCCTTTAAGCTGTGTGGCTTTGAGCAGGCTCCTCATCTCCTTTAATCCCCGCCTTTGAGGCCCCTAAACAACTTCACTCGTAGGTGTTGGGGCAGCCCTTCCCGAAGAAGAAGCCGCTTTTCTGTCTCCTAAGTGGCCCCCTTCGCCCCAGCTTCCACGTGGTGCGGGGAGAGGGCAGGAGCTTGGAGCTGGAGGCCCTTCCCCTCCCTGCCCAGAGCACATCCTGTTCCCCTGGCCAGGCCCCCACAGGCTCCAGCCGCCTGGGATCCCCTCAGCCCTGGGCTCCGGGCTGTCCCCCAGCAGAAGGCCAGGCGCCTGCAGAGCTGAGCTGAGGATGGAACCGCTCTCCACCCCCCACCCACACGCACAGACTTTCAGAAGGAAGAGAGGGAGCTGGGGGGCGGGGAAGAGGGGGTGTGAGGGCAGGTGGGGAGGAGGTGGGCCGGAGCCAGGCGCACTTCCATCCTGGGCCAGGCCCAAAGGTAAACAGGTGTATTTGGCCTCGCAGCAGGGGGCAGCGGGCAGGCCTGAGCCTGTCTGGGGTGGAGATGAGGGGGGGGCTGCATTAACAATGGGGTGGAGAGTGCCCAGGTCCCGCTGACACACTCTTGTGTAATGATGAGGAGAAAACGCGGGTGACAAGGGAGGGGAGGCACCCTGGGGGGCTCTGTGAGGCCACCCACGCTGGGGCTGAGCCAGGAGGCACATGGGGGCCCTGGGGGTCACCACCCTCCTGGGGCACATGTGTCTGTTCCACTCAGGGGCTCTGGGTCGGACAGGGACAGGTCAGAGTCACCCAGCGGGCATGCTGGGGCCTGAACTTTCCTGTGTGGTCAGCAGCGGGCAGGGATCAGCTGGAGGGCACTTTTCCCCAGAAACCAACCAGCCTGGGGGGTCGGTGCAGGTAGAGCTGGTGCACACTCACCGGGGGTGACAGGACCAAGGTCTCCATCCCTGCCCCCAGCTTCGCACAGCCCCTCGCCCTGCCCCGCGGTAGCTCGCTTGCTCAGAGGGCAGGAGGGGCTCAGACCCTCTTTCCCCTGGAAGGAAGCAGCTCCCTGAGCTCCCGGGACAGCAAGACTCCAGCAACTGGGGAGAGCCAGCTGCCTGCACACAGCACCCCCCCGCCCATGGCCCCCAGACCCCCAGGGCCCTTTGAAGCCACAGCGACTGCCCACAGCCCTCCAGGCTGTTTGCCCAGGGAGTGAAGCTGAGCAGAGGCTGCTGTGTGTACGCAGAGCCACCCACGGGCTCTGTCAGGGGTCCTGCCCCGCCCCAGACCACCCTGCCCTCTTCCTGCCTCATCTGGGCACCAAGCCCGGTCCCGATCCCCACATGATATTCCAGTTTCGCCAACTTGCTTAAAGTTGCTGTGCTGGGCCAGGGTGGGTGGGTGGGTGGTCCCAGCGGCGGGAGGAGTGACATACAGACCCTGCCTCAGAGTTGCCCATCTCAGAAGCTCTGGGGTCTGCAGACTCCCACTGGCACAGAACCTGCCTGTTTTGCTGCTTTCTACATTTGCAGCATCAAGCACATGGCCCCCGATTTCCTAAGGAATGAATGAATGAATGAATGAATGAATGAATGAATGAATGTGCTGGCTGGGCAGATGGATAAAAGGTAGAGAAACAGCCAAGGAGCCTTGGCAGGTTTCGACTGCAGACAGTAAACACGAAGGGGTTCCCAGCCAGTGGGGCTGGGGCTGGGGCTGGGGGTTTCTGGGGGCCCCGGGCTGCAGAGGTTGGGGAGAGAGCGATCAGGTGAGCAGGGTCTGGGCGGAAAGTCCCACGCTGCCCTGCTCTGGACAAGTAAGCAGCCCTTTTGCTGACGCTGTGGGTGTGGGTGGGGCAATAAAAGGGACAGCGGGGGCCTTGAGTGCCCACTGAAGCTGAGTGGACCTGTGGCTG